GTCACCGACCGACTTGTACTGTTGAAGGCTGGAGCACATGATCTTTGTTCCAACGCTATAGATTTTGAATCGCGCGAACAATTTGCGTTTTTCCAGCTCATCCCTAAGCTGTGCGACGTCCTTCATCGGGGTAAACAGCGGGGGAATCCGCTCCTTTTTCACGATTTCAGCGCCATTTTCTACTCCGAGCACCGAGAATCGGTTGCTCTGTAGCAGCCGATTTGCTGCGTCATCCGAAGCAGCGCTGAGATCCGTTTGGGCCTTCTTTCTAGAGCCCTCCCATGCAGGAGCAGTAGTACGCTTGCGTACCATGCTTTGTTTATTGGCAAGCGCAATTAGACTTGCCAATGCGCCTGTCGATGACGGCACTTCCACGACGCGAACGTAGCAATAAAACGAACTAGAAAAAGCTCGAAAGCGAAGCGAACGAACGAACCAGAGATGCCAGATTTGTTTCTTTGCAATTCCGTAGACTTATTCAAATCTACGGATTTCTACGGATTTTTTTAGCCGAAGGCCCCATTTTTATTTATTTCTAAAGTGAAATTTTACGTTAAATGATAAATTGAAAGAACTTTTGAAAAAAAAAACTACTAGGGACAGCCCTTTGGGGTTGTACGCAATGGTGACGTTGGATTACGTGGTCGTATATAATAAATATTATTTTTTATTTATTTATTTATTTCGTCAAGCAAAGTAGACTACATACAATGGTTACAATGTTTTACTTACATACTATGCATTATTTCTATAATGTTTTAGTTGGGCTTTAATTTCTTCTTTTGACATAGTGATGCTAATGACTTCACAGTGTAGATTATACTGTCGCATCATTCGATTGAAGGGGCCATTTTTTGCGTAATTTGTTCTGTGTGATTTTTCTGAGAATAATTTTCGTGTTCTTAGATGCCGACAGGGTGTGTAGAAGTTTAATTGTGAAAGTATTTCTGATGATTCTATGCGATGTGAAATAATGTCATTGATGAAGAAAAGCATTGCAAATTCGCGGCGTTCTTTGAGTGTTTGTAAGTTGATGAGCATACAGCGTGCTTCATAAATATGATGGAAGAGGAAATGCGGTCCAATTCAATTTCCGAAGGGCATATAAAAGGAATTGTTTTTACGGATTCCATACCAGGTTACAATATTCCAGAATAGGTCTTACGTATGTAATATATAATAATTTGATAGTGTATGGGTTTTGAAAATTATAGCTGAACCTTTTAATGAAGCCCAACATACTATAAGCTTTCATTATAATTGTATTATAATGTTCTACAAAAGTGAGTTTGGAGTCTAGGATCACACCTAGGTCCCTTACAAATTTACATTTTTCTACTTTTTGGTTGCCTAAAAATATTTCAAAAAGAGGTATTTCTACTTTTCTGCTAAATACAATTGCGTTGCATTTTTTTACATTGAGTTGGAGTAGACTTTTACAACACTAAGTGTTGAATAAGTTGATTTCATTCTGGAATTCTTCTGTGTCGCTAGAATTACTTATTTCCATGAAGAGCTTCATGTCGTCTGCATATATAAGAATTTTTATTTTTTTAAGTATGTAGGAAATGTCATTTACGCACAAAATAAAAAGAATTGAGCCTAAATGAGAGCCCTGGGGCACCCCAGAGGTGACCGAAATAGGTTCTGAAAGTTTATTCTGAAAACGAACTATTTGTTTGCGTTGCGTTAAGTATGATTGGAGCCAATTCAGAAGCCTAGATTCCATTCCTATTTTTTGCAGTTTAAAGAGTAATAATGGTATGTCGATTCGGTCAAATGCTTTACTGAAGTCAGTATAAAGAGCTTCCACGTGCTTGTGATTGTCCATTGCGTTAAGAATGAAGGTTACAAATTCAAGAAGATTAGAGGTAGCTGAACCAGCTTTAAAAAAGCCGTGCTGTTTGTTTGTAATTTGATTTTTTACTTGCTCTAAAATTTTGTCGTTTACGATTGATTCAAAAAGTCTTGGGATGCAAGAGATAATGGCAATTCCACGATAATTACGGATGTCTGATTTCTTGCTTGATTTGAAAATAGGCACCAAATGAGACGATTTCCAAATTTCAGGGAATTTCCCATTTTTCAGAGACATATTGAAAAGGCGTTCTAAAGGAAGGGTAAGTTGTTCTGAAAGATTCTTCAAGAATACAGGTGCAATTCCGTCAGGTCCTGGTCCTTTAGATGCGTCCAAATTTTTAGTGCATTGAAGACTTCATGTTGACATATTTGATTGACAGATATGTTGTTAGAGACTTCGGGAATGAATGCAAAGAAGTCGCGGTCGCGGTCTTTTTCAGAAAATGTGGTGTATACTTCCTGTAACTGCAGCAGGACTTGTGTTTTGTGTCGAAATGGGAATTTGATCGGGGTTCTCTCTGTTTATACTCTTTAGTATGACCATGATTTCCCTGAAAAGAAGCTTTTGATATGAATTTTAGTTGGGACATGTTCAGAAATTTATCACTTTTGGAAAATCTTGGTGGCCCTGAAAAGGGCCGATGGTAGTACAGACATGAATACCATGATACTGTTGCACCTGACGTTTTTGACGTACTTTCACTGATTGCTTCCCGGGGATCCTTGTTCATCCATAGCAAGATGTGCGCGTGAGGACTTCCACGGTGCTGAAATTCAATCGTGTCAACCAGCTTGTTGAAGTACACACAGCCCGTGACTGGATTATCACTGGACTGGTGCAGTCAATTCCTGGATAGGATTTGTTAAGTCATTGTCATTGTGTCCTTCTGACAATCGATGTAGGAGATTCAACAAATGGGGCTACTTCATCTCATTTGCACTGAGTGTGAGGAACATTGTAGGCTTTCCCAATTGTCACATCATGGTGAACAAATTTCTCTTCCTTTGTTGACAATACTGTTCTGAATTCGGCATTGAGGAAGGATAGCTTTCGCTCAATGCACTGCTCCATGAATAAGGTGGTCCTTAAGGTTGATGCCTGTATTGTTTGCAGTCCCCGTGCACTTAAAAGTGCATTGCAAGCCTTCGGAAACTCTAAGGCGAAGAACTTTCATTGTCATATACAACAAATGTTGTGGTTTGGCCAAACGGCTGTCTTGACGACGAGTTTCACTGGATGCCATCATGAAATATGTCACCTGAACCCCTGGCTTGAATTTCCGTAGATGTCCGAAACATATGGCAGGAAAAGCTATCTCTTTGCCGTGCTCATCATATATTAATGACAGAGGAACCCTGTTTTACGCGGGAGCGATCTCCAGGCATCTCATTCCATAGGAGCGTTTCCTGTTGCCCAAGCAGCCATTCTGTCTCATTATCCACGGCAAAGGTTTCCAGCTCAATTTGAGGAGCCACTGCAGGGGTTTCAAAACCATCTGTGGCGATCTGATCAATTATGATCCCGTAGCGGCGGTACAGTGGTGTCGTAATCTAATAAGAAAGCCACGCTTTAACCGTAGTTTTCTTTATAAAGTCAGACAAGTACGACGACTTATGGATTGCGTGCTTTTTGATGACGACCTGATCATCATCGAGCTGATGGGGAAGAGAGCGTCGTCTCTCTTACACAACGCAAACGGTAGAACAACATTCGACCAAAAAGAAAATTATCAAATAACTATCATATGATATATGTGATTTCGTTCTAATTCCTCAATTGGTGTAAATTAAACCATTTCTGATCCGAAATGTTATAACTAGGACATCGTTGCTTGCAATTTTCAGAATTTGCACAAGCACAACATCAGTAGCTCTTAGTATATTAAAAACTAAAATACATACATTTGTGACGGCCTTCAGCGACAGTGTCGTATGACAGAGCCTGTCGTATGACATTTTAGTTTGGTACTGTAATTGTTTTGCAAATATCGGAATCAGTCGATTATCACAGAAAATGTGATGATTGAGATTCTGAAGGGAGACGTTCACCGAAGAAAAAATCCGTAGAAACTGTACCAAATTCCGTAGATTTTGCCTACGGATCCGTATTTCCGCAAAAATTTGCAAAATCCGTAGATCTACGGAGATTTCCGTAGATCTGGCATCTCTGGAACGAACGAACTATACTGCTAGACGGTCTAGCAACGAATCACTGATGACTTCAACAAGCTTAGGTACTTCATATTTATACCTGCTAACCTATAAAAATTCTATAATCAATGAGATTCCGTTTACATACGGACTATCACGCTTCGCGCTCACTCGATTCTACTCATTATTTATTCAACTCTATCTATTACACTTGGGACTTGGTAGAAGGCATGCGTTTCAAAAGCAATTTATATATATAATTGGAAACCATTATTTTGTGTATGTAAATTATACCCGAAAAATGTCCTAGCAGTTTCATTAGGAACTGTCATTCTATAAGTGACTTTCAACTCAACTCACTTGCTGTAGGCAATGCTTTACGATTTGATTCTAACCTTAATATGCCTTAAATTTTTAACGAAATCAGGTGGATTTTGTACGAAAATGTGAGAATTAAGAAGCGTGTAGGACAATGGATTCAAAGTTATATTATAATTGGTTCGGCCTTTTAAATTAGCTATAGCCTTACAGATGGCCTCAACCTGGCACTGAGTGACAACCTTAATTATAAAAAAATGAAGACAATGAATGCCATTATGCGATGAAATTTTAATTTAAATCTCTTTCAATTATGAATAAACCAAAAAAAAATCACCGTTAACGATTTTATCCACGGTGCTAAAAGGTATCGAGCGTCAGTAATGGTTTCACTCGCCCAAAAATAATAAAATAAGGGCTCATCCATAAACTGCGTAGGCCGGTTTGATCTACTACCCCTGCAAATACAGATAACCCCACATGAAAAAAAAAACCCCATAAACCCCCTACGTGCTTTATGAACAGCCCCTAAATGAACATATTTTCACAAAAGCCGTAAGAACCTGTATAACATGCATTGCATTTTTGATACCCCGGCAATCAACTGCACGAAGAAGAGCGCACCCATCGGAGGTAAAAGCAAATTGCCGTCCATCCCGAAAAATCCTTACCTGATTGTTGTGGGTCCAGATGATTGTGGACGGTGGCTCCGGGGAGTTTCGCACCACACACGTCAGATTCACCGTCGATCCGGTGTTGATGTAAATGTCCGGACCACCCACTACGATGGTGACGGGCTCTGTGGTTGCAAGAATGGAATGAGACAAACGTTTCGGCATGTAGAGTGCTGGTGAAATGAATGCAACGTTTCGTAATCGGAGTTGGGTGGATTACATACGGGTTGTCGGAACATGTGTTCCAGTCCAGAGGGGGATTTTCTTTTCATTGTCGTTGTTGATCTGCTACTTACCTACCACTATGAGGTGCATCGAGTGTCCAACGGGGGGTGTGGTCGATATCTGGCACTCGTACACTCCAGTGTCCCGCTTCTGAGGATATCTGATCTGGAAAGGGATGAACATTGGCGGTGATTGTGAATGCGAAATGTATGTTCATTATCGAATACTGTTGACACATTTAATTACGGAAATGCACAGTGGTCCAGGATGGGAAAATTGGCAGGATGCAGTACCAAAGCTTGTATTTACATATTTGAACGATTGGTGTCTTCGGTGAAGTTTTTGTGCTAAGAAACTACCTTCTTTTGGTGATCAGGGTGATCTTCAAATTAATTGACATTCAAAATCTAACTTTGTTATTTTTGAAAATAATGATATATTATCTTCAGGGAAGTTGTAGGGTAAACGCTCATATATATGCGGTACGTTAGAAGCTTTAGGTTCCTATAGCTGTGTATTGAGTCTCCATGGACAACTAAAGGAACCTAACGCTTCTAACGTACCGCAACTATACGAGCGTTTACCCTAGCTGATTAACTTTCAAGCTTCTTTGTTGAAGACACGTTTTATCAATCTTTTAACGAGCTCAGAATTGAATTAGGCTGCATGGGACGACGGAGTAGGACGGCCTCCGTTTAGATTATGGAAGCAATCAACTCTTGAGAAAAATAATAATGCAGAGTTCTTTGGTGCTGTGTAACCAAGGGCCTGACACGCCGCCTTCTTTTCGTAGCCAGCATAAAAAACGTGATCATCAATCAATCTAAGCGGGACCATAGCGTGGGCCCTCGCCTATGCTCGCTACGGCTACTTGTTAGGGGCCATTAAATATTTACGTAAGCATGATTTCCAATATTTCAGACCCCCCTCCTCCCCCCCTTGTAAGACATAGTAAGATTTTTCAATACCACCCCTCCCCCCCCCCCCCTGTAAGATCTTACCCACTTTGTTTTTTTTTTTTCTTAAATCGGTATTTCGAAAGAATCGGCTTTTTTGGTGATCAAAACAACACTTTTTTATTTCAACAACCATTTAAAAGGCAAAAAGAACTTCACAGATCAACAGGTTAAAACTAAACAGTATCAAGTTAAAGCCAATCAAAAACAAAATGATTATTACTCGTCATCGACAGTAAATTCATTCTTCGCCCACACGCGTGCTGGATGAATTTCAGCATCGCCTAATCCTTCAGGAAATTCGGTTGTCTCAGATGTCTCTCCCCCATCAATATCGTTAACATCAATCCACTCCACGTCTTGAGCTAAAGTTTTCTCGTCCTGAAGCAAGCACAATACTTCATTTCCTCGTCTGCCTTTAATTCGAGTTAATCGTTCCTTCGTATTTTTCGTTTTACGAACTTTGCCATGGAGTGCCTTTGAATGAATATCCATACTTTTCTTAGACGCAAAATACAACCCACATGTCACACAGATTCGTCCAGGTAGTTCAGCTGTGACGGATGGACAAAACATATCATAAGGCATCATGTCCGTTTGAGGAGGCATAGGGCGAGGAATATCTAGAGATATATTCTGAAATAGTGGTAAGAAAAGATCCGTCTTCTTAACTTCGTTCAAATCAGAAACTTTTAGGCCATCAGATGTTTGTCGTAACGGACATGGTGGAGGCAGGAATCATTTAAGGAGGATATTCAAGATATTACTACGCATCGGTTTGCAGCACGATGGGTCAATACACTTAACAATTTGTAGAGCATATTGTGATTCGCGGACATGTACACTGTACCATTGTGGATCAGGTTGTGATGTAGAAAATGTAGAAAAATGTGAAAGAGTTAGGGATTTAGGAATTATCTTAGACTCTAAACTAACTTTCATAGACCATTACAACACAATTATTCACAGGGCAAATAACATGCTAGGCTTTATCAAGCGCTTTTGCTATAACTTTCAGGACCCTTACACAATTAAAACACTATATATTGCCTATGTGAGGTCAATACTGGAATATTGCAGCATTGTATGGTCTCCATTTTCAATCACGCATGAAGAAAGATTAGAATCAGTACAAAAACAATTTCTATTATACGCTCTTCGTAAATTAGGTTGGACTTCATTTCCTCTTCCATCATATGAAGCACGCTGCATGCTTATAAACATACAAACATTAAAAGAGCGTCGTGAATATGCAATGGTTTCATTTGTAAATGATATCGTTTCGCAGCGAATTGACTCAACAGAACTTTTATCAAAATTAAATTTCCATGCACCCACTCGGCAACTCCGAAATCGAAATTTATTTGCCATAAAACATCATCGTACAAATTATGCAAAATATGGGCCATTAAACCGCATGATGGCCTCTTACAATCAATACTGCGAAACCATTGACTTTACAATGTCTCGGCATAAACTAAAACAATATTTTTACTCCATAAGGCATTATAACTCATAAAAAATAGGAAAGCTGACACTGCTTAATTTTTATTAAAGAAAAAATTATACTTTTAACCTTTTGTCCAAAGTTGACGAAATAAATAAATAAATTTAAGAAAACAAAACTGTATTCTCATATGTACTAGTCTACGTTGGTTGACGAAATAAATAAATAAATAACCATGGTACTATATACCGATGGAGTTAGTTTATGCTTAGGCGCTATAACCCAATCGTGATCTGGCATTTTAACTCGATATTCCAAGTGCATCATGAGCGGCGCTTGTTTATTCGCTGCAGTGAGACATATCGGAACTTTCGCTTTATCATCTTGACTCAAGAATAGTAGACGTGCAAAAAACTCCATCAACGTGCGTTTTGTGTTCATCGGTTTGAGCTTTACACAGTTTTACCTAGAATAAAAACAAGCATTTATCAAAACACTGTCGTTATTCGTATGGGTTTTCTTATAGAATATGGTATACACTCAATTTCGTTTTACGCGATTTTTATATATTTCATATTTGCTCTCATGTATTTTATGTGATTTTTAACCAGATTATATAAGATTAGGTTGTACCTAATTTGAGATCACACGATCAAAAAATGGGGGGGAATCGCGTAAAACAGAATCAAGTGTATTTTTTTTATGTATATATATATATTTTTTTGCTTACCGGAACAGTTTTCACATGCCTTTTTCCTTCGATTGTGGACGAGTTTCTTGGTAGGAGCCTCAAATATAACCCGCTTCTTGAAATTTTGAATCCTTCGTCCAAAATAGCACCATGCAGATCGTCTAATGTTCGATAGGTGCGTATCATTTCTGTTCTTCTTCTTCCGTCTGCTGCACTTTTCAGAAGTACCAAGTCAATGATTGTTTCTAAAAGAACATCCTCATCTTCGATTCGTGGACGGCCAGGACCATATTGCACATTGATGGAAGAAGACGCTTCCGGAGCAGCTTCTACAAGCTTTTTCATCGTTTCCCGTCTCTTTGCTCTGAATTTCTTCTGGTACTCCGCATTATCTCGCATTCGTTTTAAAGTTTGCTGTTTTTGCTTGATGTCCTTCTTCACCTTTTTGATTTTTGCATCCGATCCATCGCCTAGTCCGGCATCACGAGCTGTAATCAATGCGTTTTTTTGCGCAATAAGCACCGTCACCTCGGATGCAATCTTATCCTGCGATGGAGTGGGATTCTTCTGTGATGAGCTGCCTGTATCCGACAGTTGATTTTCTCTTGGAGTGTCTGTCATCGTATATTGACCAGAGGGAACCGAGGTTGGTTGTTCAACGGAAGTTTGACCATCTGATGACGTTGTAGCAGCCTGATTTAAAATAAACGTACAATATAAGGTAAATGAGATATGATAAAATGTATGCGTTGTTACTTACTGTACTGAAAAATAACGCATAACTGCTGCGTTTTCTCAGTTTCATTGCTTCAAATTTTTGAATTTTGATACTGACTGCATTTTGCAAGTCGTCAAACGATTTATTGGCTTCTTTGATTTCTCGCCAAACATCATTCGCTTTTTGTTGTGCAACAGCTGCTGAAAATTCCGAATGAGCTTCCTTAAAAGCCCGCTGCAGCTTGATGTGTAGGTCCCCTTGTTTAGACATACCGTTTGAAAAACGTTTTAAAAATTACGGAAATTACAAAACTATGTACTTAAATCGATCAATTTCTATCACACCAAAACAACTTGCAACTCTCGACGTAACCAACAAAACAATCGCCATATTGTTATGATATCAGTCAGTTGCGAGCAAGGTTTTAGAAAACCATATACCAGGTAGGACAAAAACGATTTATAATAGTAATAGTCCTTGACGTATTGGTATTCAGTATTGAAGTATTGTTTAGAGCATTGGTAAACTGGAAGAGTGGATGACATTATTAATAAACGATCCATTAACGGGAAGATTACCGCCGGGTCCGTAGAAATAGACCTTGATGCGCATTTTATTTTTTCTAAAATTCTTTCAAAAAGATATCAATAATTCAAAAACATCCGTTTTTTTCGTAAATTTTAAAGAAAATTTACGCATAAAACATTCTTTTATCTCATTATTTAAAAAAGTTGGATATAAAACAAATTAAAAAAATCTGATTTTTCGATATTTTATATCCATTTTTTTTAGATACAGAAAAAAATTTGTAATACGTCAGCTTCCTTTGAATTTTGCGGAGAAAAACTGATGATTTTACAGATTTTTGGTATCTTTTTCCATTATTTTTAGAAAAATATAAACGTGAATTTTTCGGCGGTGGCGGTAAACTTAATTCCGCTTAAGCTGATGGCGAAAGTGAGGATATTCAAATTTTACATAGGTATCTTCGATGCCTCTTCAAATATTGCTTCTTGCGGTGAGAAAATAAATATATTTTCTTTTTTTTTTGACGTAGACTAAGTCTTACGGGAAGGTACTGGGGGTAAATCAAAAATCTAAAATTGTGACCGTCACGAAAAGGTGTCATTTTTTGAACGCTATAAGCTTTGTCATTTATAGATGAAATTAAAATCCGAATACAAAAATCGATAGGAAATACCTTTCGTGAGCTGTTGCAATAAACTTTTTTTCAATTTTTCATAAAACTGTTTTAAAAATGGACAAATAAAAAGTGATAATTTTATCACTGTTTTCATGAAATAAACGTTCTCCCCATACCCAGTCCTCATAATCAAGTACAATTTGGTTGCA